AGCATTGGCTTTCACTTTCTCTCACTCCATCTCAGTTCAATGGCCGTTGTAATCTTAAACTTTACAAAAAATCTGTACTGGCAACGTAGAGCAGCGTTTCTGAACTTTGTAAGCCTTTGATAGGGAAAACTTCCCATGTAGCACATGGGTCTTGAATCAGGGCCTCACTCCATCATTGTGGTTGCACTTGTGCAGGAACTTCGAGAAAGGATTCATCAATCTTTTGCAATTGCGTGTGCTCCCGGCGAAGCGACGTCTGGCACTTCACCAGATTAGCAGTTTTCTGGTTTTCTATGTTGCTTTCGTCCTTTTCATCTTTTTCTTCCTGACATTGACTTCGCGCAGTCCTGAGGCTAGCTGTTTTTGTAACTTATCAGCACTTACTTTCTCTTTAAGGCTTCTCGTGGTTGCTTTCCTAGGTTCGATTGCTTGCAGCCTTCTTTTCGTGTGCTTCCTTAAGATGTACAATGGCATCTGGTCTTCTTCATGCTATCTAGAATGTTACAATCGTACTTTATAATTTACTGGAAGAAGTAATTGAATGGTAAATCACTGAGCACCTTTTGAATTAGTAGGCCCTAGGCTCAGAATAGGTTTCGCGTTGTTTACGCCAATGACTCTTCTTTTTAATGAGTCCTACATGAGTTCTTAATAGTCAAAACAAGATTCCATCCCTGGGGCAAAAAAAAAACCCAGTCAAGTCTATGACCACCAAAAGTAGAAACGATCCCAGTCATCGGTCCATCTACGTGAGAAAATTTTGGATGCACAAATCAAGTGGCAGTAAAGATCGGGGTAGTCAATTAGGATTTGTTGCCCTCATGGGTGCCCCATGGCTTACAGCTGAAGTTCCACTAACTTCTAGAGAGTGGAGAGGGGATGGAAGGCTTGGTCGGCTTGGGCGGATATAGATCCGGGATTCGAAACCGTGACCATGCGAGTGGGATAGCGCACCACTTGCCACTACACCATTTCCACCGTTATTTTCTGGAATATTCGGTTGAAAATCCTTCATATAACTAATGAATATGTTTGTGGCTCATAAATTACCTGTGGGCTGCTAGAACTCCTCTTGAGTTCCCTCTGCCAAATTTGCGCAGTGATGGCTTCATGGTACGAGTTTCTAGCTGATGGGCTATTATCATACTTCTTCATAACCTTCGAGTTTGCCGAAGATATTTACTTGATGACTGTATCAAAATAAAAATATTATGACTTCTGCATCATGTGTAATACGTTTGCATAAGCACACCCACTCTGTCTAGACGTCGTCGGGTAGCCCTTCAACCAGCGCAGGAGAGCCAGCTCTGGTCCTAAACATCCGATCATCATTTTTTCCTTTTGGTCCTCGATATGGCGCACGAAAGCCAAGATTAGGTGGTGAAGTTGCGATCTCAAACACCACTCACTATCTTTTAATGAAAAATGGAAGTCACCTATTGACAGCGGTTTGATGGTATCTTTTGAATTTGCACTAGAACGAAGCGAATCCTAAGTTTTAACAGAAGTTTCCATTCGATACGTCTTCCGCACCGGAAGCAATATCTCTCACATGTTTTCATCACATTTCTCTGATTTGTTTCAAATTTTCGCCTTTTGAAAAAGGTTTTTAAGGTGGTTTAATTCGACAAAGATGGATGTGAAACAGTATTGCGAAGCGCTATCACATGTACCTCCCTGAGAATGCAAGTCGTCCTTTTCTGCAGTTTTGGTGTTAGATTTGTGAGAGGATACGGAACATTTCGCTCTGGAACCTGGTTTTTGGAAGTTTCTGTACGGGATGCTTCCCCGTATTCGACGATACCTAGTCATGAGTCATCACAGCTACTAAATTACTTTGTAACGTTGTTCCCAGATTCCATGATGTCTTGAATTTTTCCGGCCTTAATCAGTCCCACCTTTGGGATGTGCTTCACACTCGACTACCATTCCTAATTATAATGGCTTATTCAATGCTTGTTTGGTCTACACAATGATTGCTGTGGTCAGCCGATGTTCGAGTCAGTCACTTGGCCTAGATGAATACCAATCTTTATTCGATCCAAGGACCACACGTGTGATAGAGCGCCACCTCAGCAAACACCATCCCTCCCACCTAGGCCATGCATAGGTCGATAAAAACGAGAAATGCTGAAAATAAGTAGAACCCATACTTACCTGCTTCAGCCGATTCCTTCTTGTAACGTCGTTGAAATTTCTTTCCAAACTACTGATTTGTTAGGTTCTGAACCTTCAAGGAGCGAAATTTCTCCCTCCCTGGTATTCATTGGAGTTTGTTCGGCTTTTCTTCGTACCTTGTCAACTAAAACTTTTCCTCTTTGATATTCGTAGGAAAAAGAATGATGGCAGCGTTGACCTATTCGGCTTAAAAGCAAAGCTGATTCGAGCTGTGGGATCTCGTACCCAAACGGCCTCGCCCACCGCACCCTCCGCGCATAGTCACGCGCAGTGTAGGGTATTATTTAAATTTCTAGCGGATGATTACAGTAATTATTGCGGAATCATTTCCGCGTGCTGGCCTGCGATCGTGGGAATTCGGGTACAATCTTCGTCACCCGGCCGGTAATTTGTAAAATGAGGGCGAATAGAACTCCCTCGAGTTTTGAACAATTCTCTTCCGTTTCATTACAGTAGCTGTCAAAAGACGTGGTGCAGCGTAGACAGAAGGATGAATGATGTGATCATTCTTGCCGATATAGTTACTTTTTTTATTATTCTACGGGCGCCTGGATTCTATGAGACCCTCGTTTATGAGATAAACAAAGAGCTAACCAATATTTCTCTGGGCGCTAATCAATCCCATCTGAGGGATACGCCCACACATTCGACTTTCATACAGAATCGTAGTGGCGTATTGAATGCGTATGTGGCCTATACAATGACGTGCGGTGGCCAGCCGATGTACAAGTGCGAGATACTAGTGCGCCACTTGCCGCTACTCCACCTACGCACACTGATAGATCACTAATGTCTGGGGGTAAGAACATTTCACAGCGGTTAGAACGATCTGTTACCATCACATCCCACTCATTTCGTCGGTCACACTTCTTTATAAGAAAGATTCAATGGAAAACAACTTTTTATCACTCGCTAATGATATGGACGATTGTATGACTTGGAGAATACATAAAGTCTCCGATAGGACCTTAAAGTTTCTATGAATCACTTTCTTGGCGAAATCCACTTTTCGGAACTTCCTTTCTTTCTACCATACTTGCCCATAATTCGATGTATGGGACCTCTGATCAATTTATTATTCGCACAATTATTGACCATAGAAGCTGATCTCATAGAACTACTGTAGGGACCATTTGCTTGTTTCCTACACTATGTGGTCCTTTTCATCCCTGCTCCCGCTTGAGTGTTTGAGTTCTTTTTTTATAAACATTTTAGATAAATAGGGTATATCGACACCAAGTGCAGGTGGTTGGTCAGATACCAATTTTTTTCCATATACACTAGCACAACTACTATGTTAATAGTAGTGTAGGTATTTTGTTTGTTTGGAAAACCTGATGAGCATATCGAATGGCATATGCACATCAACAACACCAGGCAATTAGGCTCTGAAATGGTAAACAATAAACAGATAACATTTCTTATTGTTGAAATTCAACCTGACAATTTGAGCCATGGGTCTGTTTTCGTGCTATATTTATGATGTTCATGAGAGAAGCATTCTGTGCTTGGCTTAGATTTATAGAGCAGAAGTGAGTCATGTTTATCACTTTTTATGACATTTTATTGATGAAAGTCCATAACATTCCAATGATATCGTTCTATCACAGATCCATACACATTATGCATATTCTCAATTGGTAATTGTAGTGGCAAGTTGTGCACTATCACTCATGCACGGTCACGGGCTCAAATCCCGCATCAATCTCCACGTAGACCAACCGAGCCTTCCATCCCTTAGGGGTCAGTTAAATTGTACTATATTCGTCTGGGATGGTAAGAACACTGACTTGTAGATCGTCTGGCCACCGTAAGTCATTGTGTAGGTTACATACCACTCCCCTACGATTCTGAATGGAAGTCGAATGCGGAGCGCATCCTTCAGACGTTTAGCCCTTTGTTAATTATTATTATTATATTATCATTATTATCCCTTATTAATTTTTTCAGTTGTCGAAACAAATGTAACGAACTATGACCATAACTTCTCCCTGTATGAGATTTGAACTCTTATTTATGCCATGTGTTTTTTGAACGGATAAATCAGGGTGTCAGTAGCGCAAGGGGGAGGGACGGTCTTTGGTAAGGCTTTGAGCGGGTTCCAGTTCCATCGAAGGCCGATGTTCTACCCATAATCCAGTACTCTTGTAACAGGACTTGCCCCGATAAGTGAAAGTTCTCAAGTCTACCAAGCGTTTTGAAGTTAATCAATTCCTTTATTTAGATGCGCCCTTTATTCGTCTTTCATTCAGAATCGTAGTTTAGTTTTGCATTCGTATAGGGTCTATACAATGGCTCGCAGTGGAGAGTCGATGCAAGTCAATGCTTTTAACCTTCAAAACAGGTCTACTGCCAATTAAATGATCCCGGAGAAGTGAAAGGCATAGTTGTCCCGAGTTCGGGATTCGATCGGATCATGCGTGTGATAAGCTACGACACTTGCTGCTACACCACCTCCTCGCCCTGCAATCTGAAAATCGTATCAAATCGAAAAACTTCGTTAATTCAGCTTTTTTAAAAGATGATTAGATGATCTATTGAATCTATTGGCTCTGCAAAGGGAGTTTTTCTTGACTTGACATTTCATCGGCCATAGTTCTATATCATTGATTGAACACATTGTAAACTACAAAAGAATAAACATCAGTGACATATTACTCTCAGTGCATTCCCTAGATGCATAAGTGCCTGTGAATTGCTTTCAAAATTATCACCTCATCCGCTATCAGCTCACAATCTTTAGCTCATTTTACTCGTTGCTCTCCGTGTTCGGCCTGAAAGTATCGTTCTTTTCGAAAATAATAAAATTTTACCATTTGCAGATGTCTACCACCGTAAAATTGCTAGAAATCGAGGATACTACTGCAAACAATCAGGCGAGTTGTAACATAAGTTGTCTCACTGTGTTCAATTCAGTTTTAATACTTCAATTGCAATATGTGATAGGGATAATCGAGGAGCAGATTTTATCCCTTTGCTTTTCATGTAATTCAAAATCTTTTGTGACCAGTTAAGTTTTCATAGTGAAAATTAATAATGTATCAGATACAAGATATAAAATAAAAACACAAATTGCTGATCAGGAGAGAACTGTGGTCCACAACCAAATCAGTGAGCATAACCGCAGAATCGGAACAAATTTTTTGTGTTACCTACCTATTTGAACTCAAGGGACAACGAGTTTATACTCCACCAGGTAGGAGGTAAAGTAGTTGCAAGTGGCGAATAATTAAGAACGCATAGGTACGAGTTCGAATCCTGGATTGATATCCACTTAGACGAGTTAAGTTTTTCGTCCCTCCGGTTTCGGTCAATTATTAGCANGTATCAGATACAAGATATAAAATAAAAACACAAATTGCTGATCAGGAGAGAACTGTGGTCCACAACCAAATCAGTGAGTATAGCCGCAAAATCGGAGCGAATTTTTTTTGTGTTACCTACCTTTTTAAACTCAAGGGATAACGTGTTTATCCTCCACCAGATAGGAGGTGAAGTAGTTGCAAGAGGCGAATAATTAAGAACTAATAGTTACGAGTTCGAATCCTGGATCGATATCCGCTTAGACGAGTTAAGTCTTTCATCCCTCCGGGGTCCGTAATTTACTGGGAGGATGAAAACAGCGACTTTTACATCTACTGTCCGCCGCATGTCTTTGTATAGGCCACATATGCATTCAATAGCCACTTTGGCTTTGGATGAAAGTCGGATAACTGGGACTACTCCCCTGACTTCTGTGCCAATCCTATTATTATGAATTATCATGATCCTTTTAAACTATGTTATATTTAAATTGGTCTGGGATTTAGTCTCCCCGTGAGTCATCTCGATGGATAACACAAATCAATTCGCTACCACTCTTTTTTAAAATGAATTTCTATCAGACAAGGCAGGCGGGTATGTATATGAACGTGCGTCCGAGGATGCGCGCGGCAAATGTGCGGCTATGCTCGTAATGATTTGAACGACTCTGGCGCCTATCATTGGGGCCCAAATTTGGGATAGAGTGGATTATGAGGAACATCTGACACTATTAAGCTACTCCGAGCTTGTGCCCCGAAAACTGGCGTCAGAGTCATACAACTCGCTACGAACTTCGCCGCGCATTTTGCCGCGCGCACCCTCGGACGCACGTTCGTACCGTCCCCCAAGGCAGGTAGAACAAGATTTATATGAATCATTCTGAGCGAACCATTCTGTGAGGGGAAAGGGAAAACAGGGAAAAGAGAGTGCTGTCAACGATACAAATTGATTTTCGGAGTTTTAGTATGGAATTGGTCTGCGCGGTACAGCACATGCGTTCGTGGAAGCTTTAAAGGTGTTCGACGATGCTAAACGAGCCGATCGCAAAGATTGGAAGCAAAAAGCCGAACACAAAGGGGATAAATGCTTCAACAAGCATTTTCCAATAGGAAAAGTTTATTATTTGAAGGTAAGTATTGGAATTTTTAGGTAAAGAAAAATTCTACTCTCTCGAGGGTCCTTCTTTCCCTTTGGAATTGGCTATAGTAAGTATTTTTCATGAACTGATGAAACGACTTGTCGATTTCAGAAAGCTTTCAACATCGACGCGGAGACACTGTTCAAAAGCCACTGGAATGATGTAAGGATCCCTTTTCTCTATTGGTCCCATTTTTTTGTTTTTCGATGAGGACCTGTGCCCTACTCCCCATGGTCGCTGGCAATACATTCAGCCCCACCCACCCTTTGCTATCAATTCACTTTCGTATCCACTGCTTTATGAGGAACTCCCACACAGTACTATACACAGTACTTTCTGAGTGGGTGCTATGCTTTTGCAGGCATAGAGATACATATTTCATACACCTTATTTTATGGAAACTGTGTGGGTACCCAAATGAAGACGCATGTTGTTAGCGGTGATATTTTGTAAACAGCTGTTGAAGAAGAAGAGGCTAGTGGTGGTTCCCCATGGTAATATCGAAAAAACCTGTGGANGTTCGAACTCCCCGAGACCAAATCTTTTGTAGCGGATGCTGGGAAGTAGTGGCTCTCCACCTTCCTCTTTTACTACTTCTGTCATAAAGTACAGCATTTTTTATTGATACTGTTTTATTTCAGATAGAAAAAACACCTGAGTGGAACAGCAATGTGCACAGTCTGGAACGGGTTGATACGATCAGCGAACACGCTGATATTCTTCATGTGAGTGTCTGGTTAAATACTACCGAATAATGTTGTTACGGGCATAACGCTGTATTCGTGGAGAGGGGGCTGTATGTAATCTGTCGGAAAGGAACTGTCCCTAGTGCTGATGCATATGGGAACACAACAGTCCAGATATGCCTTCTCCTGTTGATGCGAACAAGAGGTCTATATAGAGATTCGTTCGTGATTTTCAGGGCTTGGACCATATCTCTAAAGAGCCCCTTAAAGGAAATTGCTAGATCGTGCTTATAGTATTGTTTGAAGTGGGATAAATATCGGACGACACCCAGTTGTACGGTTTGAAAGGAGCTGAAATCATGAAACTTCGTCAGAGGAAGATTAATGCGCAATTGCTGTTGCTAAACGCAAAGCGAATTGTAGCAGTAGAGCTCTTGTTTACTGTTAAACCTCTCAGTAACCCCAAATTAGGTTTCCAAGGTATTCAGCTGAAGTCGACTGGTCTATGGACACAAAAACTAGTGAACTGTATAGCAGAGTTCCTGGANCAGTGCCAGAAGCATTCATTCTCCGTAGGTGCTTCTTTCATAGTCAGCAATAGATGGAAATTCCCAAACGTAATTGGAACTCTAAGGTATTCTTTCCAAAAATGCGCCTTCACAAACAGAGTCCCAAAAGAATTCATCTTCACTCAATATTTACTCGACTCAATATTTAAAATACAGAGCTGTATGTATCGTTGTAGGAATCCTGAATATCTTACTGTAATCTGCTCAGGGGTAGTGAAAAAAAGAAAAATTCCGGAATGCTCTTAGAGAAAGTGGTCTTGAAGAAAGCCTTTTTTGAAATGGTAGCAGAAAGAATCAATTTCACTCGAAGTATCAGAGTGGCAGTGTTCTGAATGTTACAGTCGGCAAAGTTTTTTTTTCAGTACACAACGTCAGATGTGATTGTCATCAAAGGGCGTGATTTCGTTGTATGTCGAATGTGGAGGAAGGTAAATTTCCTATAAGTTCAATAATCCCAATTCGATGAAATAATCTAACAGAGAATTCTGATTAAATCATTTCGTAGAAAAGTGGTAAAACTCAAGAGGAGATGGGGTGAGTGGAAGGGTGACTTGTACAATCTACTAGAGAGGTCAGTTGTTTCGAAGAGTCCATCTATTCGAACTGTTCTGCAGAGTACAAAGTGGTCGGGTACTATGAATCAGGAAAATTCAGAAGAAGCTGAAATTTTCGTGAAAATGGAGGTTTTAGCCATTCGGCACTTATCGAATTCCCATAAACTTTCCTTCATTGCAGTTTGAATTTCGATAAAAAAGAAACAGAAGTGTATCGTGAGGAGCAGTTAGAGGCTTCACCACCTGGCTAATCTAACGAGTTGCTGTGATCGTCCTCTTCAGAGGCCTAGATCAGATGCAATGCAGGATGTTCTACCCACCATCCAGCGCGCTTTTAATACCATTTAGCCAATCTAAAGGCTTGGTGGGAACCCGCAACTCAAAAATGACCCAAAAGCGACCGACCATTGAGGCGGGCAGAATCCGCTGTCGCCACTGGCGATGGTCAGGAGCACATGAGTTTTCTTCCTTCACAATGATGAGGAAGATTACATTATGGGGTTACACAATCATACTTCCAGCGGGTATGTAAGACAGTAGATAGTTGGTTGATAAGTAAATAAATAAACACGTAGGAGATAACTGACTTTCTGTGAAGCTTTTCTTTCATCTGTTTCTTTTCTACATTTTCCTTAATGAAGTCTTCAGAACGTCTGTTCGTTCCTTTTCAAAATTCCGCAGATGGATTTCAAAACAAACCTAATCTTACAGGTAGGCGACTCATACGTTGTGGCAGCCACTAGCTTTGAAACTGACATTCCTGTAGCAGCTAAGAAAAAGCGGTACGTACCCATTTGTAATGACATTACCATTGACTTCAAAGCACAATTAACGATAAAGATGGTTTTGGAGATTTCGCAAAAGGATGAACTCGATTCCCACTCGTATACCACATCTAGCGCTATCAGGTCGGAAAACGGCCTAGTTGTGGCGATATATAAACTCAAAGATTGTCCCATGGTATCCTCGGACGAATCTTGCCGGCATTGCAGAGGCCGCACCATTCACAAGGGAACCCACACAGGAGGCTGGGGGACGGTCAAGAGTGCGTCCGAGGGTGCGCGCGGCAAATTGCGCGGCGAAACCCATACCTATTCTGACGACTTTAGCNCCTATTAGTTGGGCTCAATTTCGAAGAACAGTAGAATAGAGGACCAGCTAACCTTACTAATCTACCTTACTTCAGATTTGGGCCTCAATGGTAGGCGGCGCCGGAGTCGTCCAAATTCGCCGCGAACTTCGCCGCGCAATTAGCCGCGCGCACCCTCGGACGGACGACTTGACACATACCCCGGGGGGCTTAAGCAACTTGCCGTGACCCTCGGTGACTGGGACAGGCAGTTCTGTACAGTTCTCGTTAAATTGAGTCAGCTCTTTGCGCAATTGCAACAATTGAAACCTCGTCCAAATACCCCTTCCATGTTTTTTCCGTCATGGCAATCTCGTCCAACCTCTATTTACCCTACTTTTCAGAAGCCTAATTTTTCTTGGAATTGGCGAATTTTCTTGTGTTGTTCACTATTCCGATGAACTGTTCCCAACCTATACTTCCGCTATTTTGAATTAAAAGGGGTACCACAAAATTGTCGTGAACTGTGCCTTCAACAACTCATTACAGTACCATAACTAATACAAAGCATTACAGTGGATGGGCTAATGTGGTTGCCGGCAAATTCAGTCCACAAGCAAATGATGCATCAAAATGTGTAATAGAATATCTGGTATCAGTGGATTTGAAGGACAAGCTGACGCCGAAAGCGGTGAGGAATTTGAAGAAATTCATTACTTCTACGGAAGTTGACAGATGGATTTTCAGGTACAAAGCTCAGGAATCGCTGATATGATGATTAAAGACGCTCGTTGTGCATTCAAGTTTGTCGAGGAGGAGATTTTGAAAAACAAAACTGAGAAATCTGAATGAATTGTATAGCCTTGTACATTTAAGAGGGCATTATAAACTGCTTCAGTCATAGATTCTTCCCTTTCCCTTCGCTCTTTCACAACAAATTCGAATGCAGGGAAGGTCTAACGTAAAAACTGCATCTGAATGGAGGCAAATTTTTCCTCTCAAGTAGTTTCTGCATGACCAAGCTTCCCCTGTTGATTATTTTTTACCCTCATAAGACATTAGCCATTCACATTTGCCTGGTCCGGTACCTTCCCCTCGAAAACGGCGTGCCGTTCGCCGCACCCGATCGCGCGCTTTGAGGGGAAAGGTTTGAATTCTCAGCGTAAGGATAGGGTGGCCGCCGCGTGACATTTGTCGTTTGCCGTGTGAATTCGGGGAGAAGTTCCGGCACCCACATTTGCCACATATCTCCTGCTCGATTAACTAAAACCCACTCCTTCATAAATTTTATTCCCAACCTTTCGCTGTGGAGTACACAGTCCTCCTTCGGTTACTCTTGAGTTTGCTCTTCAACGCGCACGGCTAGAACGTATGTTTTTTGATGCGGTATCGATTTTTCGAACGTGCTGTCAGGACCTGTAGAACTGAAGGGGTATCGGGTCTTGCGCACGAATGCCATGATACGCTCGCCGGAACGCGCAGCGTTAGGGTAATTTGAATATGCAGTAATCGATTACCATAATTGCCATGAAACCGTATCTGCGTGCGTGCCCGCGCGCGTGGGAATTCTGGAACAAAACTCAACAATCGCTTACCCCGAGGGAACCCCGCTTGGCACTTCTTGCAGCAAACGACAAATCCGTGCGGCATCTCGTGTTTCCTTCAACCTGCGCTGCTGTTGCTGCACGCATTCGAGGTTTCAGAAGTGATAGAGCAGCTAGAAAGGTGAAAATGACAGTAGCCGTTGATGATGTTGTTATATAATTTGCTATTTTATATCATGTTTCAGTATCATTTTCGAAAGAAAGATTTATTTTTAATTTTCCCGTCTTTTGTTTTTTCTTTGTCTCGTTATAATTCATTCCATCCTGCCAAGACTATGAATAACATAAAGAGATAAAAAACGGTAGAGCAAGCTGCAAATGGGACATCGTCTTTTAGCGTCTTTTCATATTACCTGTTCATAACTAATCGATAAAGAAATTGTTTGATTGATAAAGGCATTTTTCCAATCTAAGTCATTCTTTTATCAGCATAAACTCACAATCAGTAAGTGTTAATTTCGTGACGCGGTAGTAGTCCGCAATTGCAGAATTTATCAAAACAGTCAACTAATGCCCTTGCCCAAGGCCTTTTCTAATATCTCGTATATTAAGTCAAAAAAAGTAAGATAGTAGAAATGAATAGGATTGACGTGTGCTGGATTTGGCATGATTCTTCGGCTTTTTTCGTCCTCTCGTTCAGCCTCTTCTGAGCTACCTGCCGAAATCTTCTCTTTTGGTTTTAGAAGAATTCCGAAGACAGCACCTCCTTAGTTGATCAATAGGTCTTCCCGCTAAGTGGCGGAGTT